CAATACTAAACTAATATGTGTAGTTTCAATATTGTTTCAAGAATATCCAAACAAAAACCAGTCGCTCCTCCATCCCTTTTAGATCCTGACAAGCAATGGGAGGAGCATTTCAAGGAACTGAAGTGGCCACACGGCAAATTCTCTGATAGAGAACGGGAGAAGAGCTACCTACTCCGGGACAAACACAAAAGACTTGTGTGAACCTGTAAGAACAGTGTCAGGATGGCTGTGGCTCGGGTGGAACTGAGATTGCGAAACATGCTCTAGACATCAAAAAGGGCTTGTATAGCTATATTGGGAGAAAAGAAGGAAGAAACGGGCCCATTGCAGAGCATAGATGGTGTAATAGTAACAGATGACCCAGAGAAAGAAGAACCTCTCAACTCTCATTGGGTTTGCCTGCTACAGAGAGAATGATGCTGGAGATTTAAATGGCCTAGGGGTGTAGTTAGATGGAAATTGAGGCCCCAGCGAAGTGAAGGAAGATAAGAGAACACTAACTCAATTGAAATGTTTAAGACCCCAAATTTTGGGTGCAGTCCATCTGCCACGATGCTGAAGGGAACTGGAGAAATGGTTCAGGAACTATTGTAGACAAACTTTGAGAAATTTTAGAAAGCAGGAAAAGCACTGGGGATAGCATTCTGACTTGCAAGAAAATTGAAAATGGAAGTTATAAAACTATTCACCAATGGCTTCGATATTAGTCACTCTGACAAGATTTTAGATTCTAGATTCTTCAGATAACTTGTGAGCACCAAGTAGCAGGAAGAGTGAGAACTGCTCAAGCTAAACAAACCTCATTTCCCCTTTTCACGGTGTTACAGTAAAGTTACAACATTGTAAGATGGGGGAACTTTTAGAACTTTACTTGCTTTCTGCTTGGTTTCAAGCAAGAAGCACAATCTTTCAGGGCATCTTTGCAGATCATATAAAGAGACCTGAGCACAGCACTGGAATTTGGTGGGTGAACTGATGTTTGAACATTAATATGAATTAAATGTTGATTTGGATGATATCAGCAAAAATAGGAAAGGGAGGACCTATGAAAATTCACTCCTAAATAAAAGCAATTTAAAAAAAAAAGAATCAACTTTTTAAAAACTCTGTAAATTAACCAAAGTCTTGCAGCAAGTTGAGGAATGCTTTTTTATTTTTTTTAAATGGCTGGCCCGGCTGGTGTGGCTCAGCATTTGAGCATTGATCTATGAACAAGGAGGTCATGGTCCGGTTCTGGCCAGGGTACATGCCCAGGTTGTGGCTCGATCCCTAGTAGGAGGCATGCAGGAGGCAGCACACCCCCTCTCTTCCTCTCTCTCTCTCTCTCTCTCTACCATCCTCTCTATCTGAAAATCAATAACATAATTTAACAAAAATAAATAAATAAATAAAATGAGCCAGAAAATATAGATTTGGATCCGAGTAGGTAGGGCCTTGGATGTTGGTAAAGGAATTTGGACTCCACTTGGTAGTTAATGGGAAATTTAGAATTTCTAAACAGAAACTTTGAAATGGGTACTGCTGTTTTGTCTGCTCAACACTTTCTGTGGAGAGCACCCCAGTTTTCATTGCGAAAGGCATCTTTCCCCCAGCCCAGTTCATGTCACACAAGTAGAGATAAGTGAACCCCCAATTCCACACTGATTGGTTCAGGGATTTGTACAGGATCCAAACAGAACCAATGACCAATGGGAGTCACATCTGGGATTTTAGTTATACGGCTGGGGGCGGGGGGGTGGACAGAGATGAGCAGATTAGAGGAACAATTTGCAAAATTTGAAAAGATCTATAAATTAACTCTATGCATGTTAACATTTTGATTTTAATAATTGTACTATGTTTATTTAAAATGTTAACATTTAGAGTGCTGATGAAGGGTATATTGGAATTCTTTGAACTGTTTTTGCAACTTCTGGGTAAGTTCTGAAAACATTTTTAAAAATTAAATTAAAATATGAAATTTAGGGCTTGATCAACAGTAGAGAGGATGGCGTTGGGAAATACTATGGCAATAAAATGGTGAGGAGATGGTTAGATATAGAGAGATGAAAAAATAGTAAAATAACGGTTCAACTCTGAGAGAGTGGTGGCCGCACTAAAGGAAGGAGAGTCTGGAAGAGAACCGGGTTTGGGGTAAAAGGGCGTGTCCATTGGACATGCTGAAGCTTACGTGTCGAATAGCCTCCAGGTGGCGCTGCTCAGCAAACAAGGAAACGAACTGGGGCCGGCAGAAAGGCAATGGCTAAGGTTAGAGAGTTTACATACAGGAACCAGTTGTCACGGCAGGAATATGATGTAACTAAAGGAGACACTGTGGAGTGTCGATATAAGAAACATTCAAACCTATGGA